CTATTACGCTTTCGAATGTTTACAGAGAATAAAGACAGGTCTGTAAAAACTCTTATCTAACTCTAGTAAATATCCATATTTATAGGGAACGAAAGCGTACAAAAAATATACTAAGGCATAGACACTAACGCATCGAATAAAAGCGCCTTAGTAAAATACATTACAAGACATTCGAAGAGTACATAATACAATTCGACTTATTACAATAATTCGACCCTTACAGTATCATCCATTGATCTTGTTATCATCCCAAAAACACCTTTCAATCTTCATAAATTGGGCCGAAAACACCCAATTTAGCTAGTTTTCATAAAAAACACACGAAGAACACGAAAAACACGAAGAACAACCACACACTATTCTAAGGATTATTGTAAGTCTTCTTACAATAATTAAGTGTTGTTTAACAATTTAAACTTCATTAGATTATCTAATTTATACTTAATATAATATTAATATAAACTAGATGCGTTCCCCCCGCGTTGCGGGGGTTAGAAGCTATCGCTTTTGTGTGAAACTATAGTTCATTGCCTTAATTGGCAGTCACAATAAAGTATGTTGGTATTCTCTGCAATTCGCCCATTTATGTAAGGACGTAATAAAATAGAACAAAAATTTCCGAATTATGTTCGTGATTGACAATATATAAATAGGTGAAAAAGATTTTGATATCAAGTATGAATCCCAAAAGTGTTACATTGGAGAAATAGAATGTATTTAAAAAAAATTAATGAAAGTAGGATCGTCTTACCCATTTATTTTTTAGCTAATTCAGAATACTCAATAGATGTCATTTTCAACTTCATCCATTTTTGCTTTTGTTCATCTGCATGGCTCTTCGTTTTCTTTGTTCTTCAAGGTAAGATTTAAGAAGTGCTTCCAACTTTTCATTTCATGGTCCTTCTCATAAATGATTCAAATGAGTCATACCTTCATGTAAGACCATAAACATAAAATAGTTGTTGAGACTCTTCACGATAGGGAGTTGCCATATCCAAGGCTTTCGGGAAAGGATCCATTTATATCTAATAAAGGTTTATGAATATAAAATTCAGTTACAAAGATAGTACACAGATTCTAATCTTCCATGTCTACATGACCCCATTCCGCTTTTACAATCTTTTCTTGAGACAATGGAGAAGCACCAAATGACAATTTTGCCCCTATACAACTTAAATCATATTTGTTTCGTGGTAGTTTGGCTGCAGAAACAACGCCTCTAGCTAAAGATAAATCTTGTCTTTCTGAATAGATGCTCAATAATCTCTATGAAATTGTATTGTTTCTGCAGGCAAACTACAAAAAAGAAGCATATTTCGTTTGAGATTCATTGGAAAACCTTGTAATGACCGACAATGACCACAACAATGATAAGACCTGTTATTCGAGACACAGGGATTCTCCTAAAACAGAGTAAAACTCTAAAATTCTTATTCCATAATAATCCAAAAAAAGTCATATCAAAACCTTATATATAAATGTGAATAGATAATCCTACCCTAAATTAAAAGATACTAACAGATATCCTAATTTTAAATAAAGATAACTACTAATTTGAAATAATAATAATAAAGGGATAATTATCGGAGACTTATCATTACTCCCCTCCCAAACAAACACCTTGTCCTCAAGGTGGAAATATTGGTTCTTCAGTTGAATATTGTTGAATTTGTGGATCGTCTCCTAACTCCCCATAATTTTCTATCTTATCCTCATAAACTCGGTTTTCATTGATCATAACCGCTAATCTCATTGCATTGGTTACACCCACGGATTGCATGGCCGTTACTGATGATTTGAGTGAGGGTTCTAGCCTTTTGATGAAAGTTCCTTCCAAGGTCTGTTTTGGAAATTCGCCCAAATGACCCGCCATCTTCTCGAAGGTCCCCTTATACGAAGGTTGAAATCTTGTTAAAAGTCTTTGTTTAAGTGTCACCCTAGACTTGAAAGTTGTTCGATTTTCATATGATCTATACCAAGCTAGTGTGACTCCCACCATGCAAGAGGCTATCTTAAGTTGTTTCATGCGTTTAGTACCTTGGATATCATAGTAGCGTTCCATCTGGTATATCCACCCATGGGAGTCTTCCCCATTGAATATGGGCATCTCGATCTTCCAAAAGTCAACCTGTTTGAAATTACTACTAGATTTGCTCTTGTTTCCTTCTTCTTCTTCTTCCTTGCCCTTACTCTTCTCTGTTACGGATGCCTTGCTTTCCTCATCAGAGTCCTCAATGGATCTATGTTGGAATCCCTTGGAATCCACCTTCTTTTCCTCTTCCTTGTTGTTCAAGTTTTCTAACTTAACTCCTAACTTAACTGACAAGTCGGTGATAGCTTTCATCACCTGGTTGAACCGCTGTGAATTAGCCTCTCGGTCGTCTTTCAGATCCTGGTGGAGTTTAGCCAAGTCCGTTTCCAGCCGAGTGATTCGATCAACGTTCACCATCTCAACACCCTAAATAATAATGAACAGTCCCTATGAATAGTGTTGCCGTGAACAGTATTCCGACGAACAGTACTCCGGTGAACAATACTGACGTGAATAGTATTCCGATAAACAGTGATTTGCCAGAATCGTTGCTCTGATACCAATTGATAAGACCTGTTATTCGAGACACAGGGATTCTCCTAAAACAGAGTAAAACTCTATAATTCTTATTCCATAATAATCCAAAAAAAGTCATATCAAAACCTTATATATAAGTGTGAATAGATAATCCTACCCTAAATTAAAAGATACTAACAGATATCCTAATTTTAAATAAAGATAACTACTAATTTGAAATAATAATAAAGGGATAATTATCGGAGACTTATCAAACAATCTCCCTATACGGAGATTTAATGACCAGATTCACATTATTAGAATTATAACAAATTTTCTTACCTTGAAAAGCTTAGGAGCATAATATTTAGATCGGTAATATTCTTCTCTTCTTGGAAGATTACACTTATGTTAGTTCTACTTACGCTAAATAAAAAAAAGAAACGTAGCTCCCTTCCCAACCTCGAAATGGCCAAGGCTTTATAATCGGGTATAACTCGGAAGCAGGATTGTGCTGGATTCCTGCATATATAAGCTAACCATACCATTATAAATTAATGTCATAACTATTAGATAACGAAATGATGTATATTAAGGCATTAAGGGCCAGAAAAAGTTGTAAAATATTACCTCATTGCGTTTAATCCGGACAACATAAACTCTGCTACCTGGCCTGCACAGAAATTACATGAATACATTAGAAAACAAAAACCCATGATAAAATCTGAGCATACACATTCATATCAGATGACACACACATACAAAGTGGATCACATATACACACATCCAAAATTTATTATGCATCAATAAGTACTTTTCAACATCAAAATTCAAATAAATTTTGAAAAAAAAGGATCATAAATCATTTCAACTCCAACTCACCCGATAAACAGGATAATCTATGTGGTTCTCTCTTCCTCTAAAAACACCTATCCTTGTTAAAATAGAAAAACATGGATGTCCTGCCTGAAATATAGAAATAAAAAGGGAAAATGAATGTTTATATAAAATTAGAATTCAATTTAATAAAAATTAAAAAGTAATAAAACAAATCTATCTTGCAGCCTTGACATCATTCGAAGGATTGTCCCCGATCATGCAAGCGTTGCCAATATTTATTGTAATAAAAATCATGATTTAATAGTTTAAAAACAAAATGTAATCGATTTCTGTTAGAAAACAAATTACAATAGACAAGTTACAAACTTTCATAACAGGGACATACTTGTCGTTTAACCTTCGGATGCTCCCCACGACCTTGGAACAACTCAGGTGGCTCAACCTTGAAGTTTCCAACAGGGACAGAGTTGTCATTTCACATTCGCGACTCTTGGTTAAATGTTCAAATACCTATGTGAAAACTACCACCGAATTCAGCGTCTCTTCTTCCTAAAAACATTTGTGAATCACTTTTAAGTAAAAGAAAATCGAAAATGGACCATATAGTAAAATACAAAATTTTAGTGTTATTTAACATTTTCTAAAACCTATAAAAATATTTCATATCGTTAGTAATTTATTATACTTTTACCATTTTATATGACCAAAAATGAAAAAAAAAAATCAACTTTAGACTAAATCATAAGGCATAGACCAGTTTCGTAATTTACTCTTCTTGTTCCCAAAGTGGACATAACTAATACATACAATCTGTATACATTTATAGCAAAATCATATCCAAATTAAAACATGGTTCATATACTTTTGTTATTAATGCCAAGGCGAAAACAGCTTTGTATAAAATATATGCGAACCATTTGAAATTTGAATTCACATAGAAGGTGTAAATGAATTCATTAAAAATATAAGAAACATTAAAACTTATTATTAAAT